AGAGAAAGAGTTAGAGCAGAGAGTCGAGCGCGACGAGTGGAGCGCGCGGGAGGGGAGGAGCGAGAGGGGAGGAGGACGAGGGGAGGAGGAAGAGGAGGGAATCGGGGAACTCTGCCTGCAGTATGATAGAGGACTGACCCGAGCCAAGGTTGCACGGGTGACGCCATCAAGCTACTAGTGCATAATAGCGCCGCTCGTTCTGAGGCCGCCGCGACTGCGCTAAAATCGGAACTCGTTCTCCGGCCCCTCGCGCGTTCCCTCCCGCTCCCCTGCGCTCCCTCCCGTGTCTACCCTTCCTCGTAGTCGCGTCAACCCTCTTTTTCTCACTCTCCATTTCTTCCCTTCCCGTCCCGCTTCTCCCGTACTGTTTCTCTCTCTTTCTCTCTCTCTTGCATCCTTCTCTCGCGTCGCGCGTTGCAGTTCCGTCGAGAGTCCCGCGCGGTTGAACGATTCCTCGGGCACTATTCGAGGTTTTCTGGTTTGTGGACCGACGAGACGAGAGGAAGATGGAGCGAACGAAGAAGAGGGGAACGGAAGAATATTTATTTGGCGGTACTGAAGCGGTGTATTATCTTCTCCAGAGTGACGGAGCGAGAAGTAATAAGCGGTCGTTCGAAATAACGGCGCGTTTACGCACGGCACGTTTACGCTTTATTTATACAAGAAAATAATTTAACGAATTTTTAAAGAATTTAAAAATTACGCGAAATCATCTCTACCGCACCAAGACGGCAAAAGTAGACAGATAGAAATAGACTCTTTATTATGTTACGAGCGAAGTCTAGAAAAAAATAGATTTACGCTAGAAAACAAAGGCAGATCGGACGAAGCAAAAAATATAAAACGAGAATACTTAATTGATACAAAAAGGCAGAAAAAAATCTAATCGATTTTTCGATACCTACGATAACACTATCGTAAATCCATCGAAATACTTCTGATCTGCGATATATCAAGACAATGTAACGCGACAAGGTTTCAATAACTGCAAGAGCTGCGGTATAAATAGCGCGAGAGAAATGAAGCAAGATTCGAAAAGAGGAAAGAGAGAAGAGGGGAGGGGCCGGAGGGGGGAAAGGAAGAGGGAGAGACGGGGACGAAAAACAGAAGAACGGCAGGGGAGCGGAAGATTTTCGAGATGGCTCTAAAAATACGGAGAACGCACCGTTGTTCTCGAGAAGTACGCGTATATACGCGGGTTAGAGCATGCATGGGTGGCGGGAAGCGGGAGGAGCGCGCGAGAAGCGAGGAGGGAGAGAGAGAGAGAGAGAGAGAGAGAGAGAGAGAGAAGAGAGA